CCCCCCCCCCTCTCTCTCTCTCTTTCTCTCTCTCTCTCTCTCTCTCTTCTCTCTCTCTCTCCTCTCTCTTCTCTCTATCTCTTTCTCTTCCCTCTCTCTCTCTCTCTCTCTCTCTCTTCTCTCTCCTTCTCTCTCTCTCTCTCTCTCTCTCTCTCTCTCTCTCTCTCTCTCTCTCTCTCTCCCTCTCTCTCTCCTCCCTCTCTCTTCTCTTTCCTATCTCTCTGCTCTGTCTCTCTCTCTCCTCTCTCTCTCTCTCTCTCTCTCTCCTTCTCCCTTCTCCTCATCTCTCTCTCTCTCCCCTCTCCTCTCTCTTCTCTTTCTCTCTCCGTACTCCCCTCTCTCTCTCTCTCTCTCTTTTCTCATCTCCTCTGTCTCTCTCCTCGTCTCTCCTCTCTCTCTCTCTCTCTCTCTCTCTTCTCTCTCTCCCTCTCTCTCTCCTCTCTCTTTCCATCTCTCTCTCTCTCTCTCTCTCTCTCTCTCTCCTCTCTTTCCATCTCTCTGTCTCTCTCTCTCTCTCCCTTCTTTTCTCATCTCTCTCTCTCTTCACTCTCTGTCTCTATCTATCTCTCTGTCTTTCTCGCCGCCCTCTCTCTCTCTCTTCTCCCCCCTCCCGCCCCTCCCTCCTATATCTCCTCTCTCTCTCACGTTCCGCCTCCTCTCTCTCGTCTCCTCTTCTTTCCTTCTTGTCTCCCTCCCTTCTGCTTTTTTTTTCCCTCCTCCCTCTCTCTTCTCTTTTCTTTTTTTCTTTTTTTTTCCCTCGTCCGCTTCCCCTCGTCGCGGGGTGTCTCCTTCGTCTTTCCATCTCTTCGGGGGTCGTCTTCCCTCTCGATCTCTCCCCTCCCTCTCTTCTCTCTCTTTCTTCTCTTATCCTCTTTTGCTCTCTCTTTTCTCTTCTCTCTTTCGCTTTCTCCCTCTCTCCTCCTCTCTCTCTTTCCTCTCATCTCTCTTTCTCTCTCCTCTCTTCTCCTCTCTCTCTTTCTCCCTTCTCGATCTCTGTCTCTCTCTTCTTCTCCTCTTTCTTTCTTCT